TTGGAGGCAGTGGGTGGATCTGAGGAGTGGCTGACTGCACTCTTGAGGGACATAAAACATACATAAATAGTGTTGTGCTAACTCATATAGATACAATAGTCCATAAACAGGTTCCAATGTGATAGTTCAATCAAAATATGAAATATAAATATACATATAAAGTGCTTGAATGGTGAACATCTAATAAGGTGCTTGAATGGTGAAGAATCACTACGATGTGCTCCGAATAAATAAAGTCTATTTGATAAACACGGTGCTCCACCTTAACTCAATGTTCCTCCACCTAAAAAATGTATGGATGGCCGCTCTCCTCCTACCATGGACCTATGAATGAATACAGGTCAACCAAGCCTGGTAATTCCGGTGCTCTAGATGTCAGCAGATGACAGGCACCACCTTCCATAACAGGGTAAAAAGGAATTCTTCTCACATGATAGAAGCAGTAACATAGCGATTTGCATTTCAAAACTCCCGCAATGACGTCACTAGGCTCCGCCCCCCCAACCATGCGTTACGCCACCAACCACGTGGCTTCCTCAGGGAAACCATCTAGGTAACCATGACTACTGTTCCTGCTCCCTTCTGTAGAGCCTGCAACATCGCTGGATGTCACATTTCACATGGAACAAAACCTTTTTATCATGATACACCAATAATCCGACCTACATTTATTATACAACAATATTATTAAATAAAAACTTTAAAAGATCGGAAAAAAGTTTTAAAAAATCCTGTGATTTTGTACAGCCCCATTTTGTGGTCAAAAAGAATAACATCACCCAAGTAAAAATTCATTATAAATCATACTTAACACTAATCATATTAATAAAAAGGAAAAATAAAAATATTAAAATAATTATTATATGATCTATAAAAAACAGATAAAACCCACATTAATAATTATTGATAAAACTATTCAGGCAAATTCTACATTATGTCCTGATGGATAAAACGTCTGCATTTCGTATATCCAAAAATATTATTATTATTATACAGGATTTATATGGCGCCAACAGTTTGCGCAGCGCTGTACAATATAAGGGGGGCGGTACAATTACAATACATTTCAGTACAGAAGGAATAGGAGGGCCCGGCTCATGGAGCTTACAATCTGAAGGAAGGGGGAGGGGATACAAAAGGTGATAGCTGCGGGGGATGATCTGGTGGAGGTGATTCAAGTACAGTTCTTAGGTGGAGGTGGGGTAGGCTTCCCTGAAGAAGTGAGTTTTCAAAGATCGCTTAAAGGCAGACAGGGTGGGGGCTGACCGGACATGCTGTGGTAGGGAGTTCCAGAGGATGGGAGAGGCTCTGGAGAAGTCCTGGAGGCGAGCGTGGGAGGAGGTGATGAGGGAGCTAAAGAGGAGGATATCATGGGAGGAGCAGAGTGGGGGCGATTTGGGCAGTATCTGTGGATGAGGTTGGTGATGTAGCTAGGGGCAGTGTTGTGGATGGCTTTATAAGCTGTGGTTAGTATTTTGAATTTTATATGTTGGGTTAGTGAAAGCCAGTGGAGGGATTGGCAGAGAGGGGCAGCAGTCGCTGATCGGTTGGTAAGGTGTATGAGTCTAGCGGCAGTCACTGATCGGTCGGTAAGGTGTATGAGTCTAGCAGCAGTCGCTGATCGGTTAGGTAAGGTGTATGAGTCTAGCAGCAGTCGCTGATCGGTTGGTAAGGTGTATGAGCAGTCGCTGATCTGATCTGGTAGCAGTCGCTGATCGGTTGGTAAGGTGTATGAGTCTAGCAGCAGTCGCTGATCGGTTGGTAAGGTGTATGAGTCTAGCAGCAGTCACTGATCGGTTGGTAAGGTGTATGAGTCTAGCGGCAGTCGCTGATCGGTTGGTAAGGTGTATGAGTCTAGCAGCAGTCGCTGATCGGTTGGTAAGGTGTATGAGTCTAGTCAGTAGATCGGCAGTCTAGCTGATCGGATCGGTTGGTAAGGTGTATGAGTCTAGCAGATCAGTCGCTGATCGGTTGGTAAGGTGTATGAGTCTAGCAGCAGTCGCTGATCGGTTGGTAAGGTGTATGAGTCTAGCAGCAGTCGCTGATCGGTTGGTAAGGTGTATGATAGACAGTGAAGGGGGGATAGCCAGTGTTACGGTAAGACCAGTGAGGAGGGAGTTGCAGTGTATGAGTCGAGGCGGGATATAACCAAGGTGTGGATAAGTTGTTTTGTGGTCTAGTCATTGGTCAGGAAGGGGCAGATTTTGGAAATGTTCCGGAGGTTGAGGTGGCAGGATTTAGCCAGTGAGGTAAGATGTCTAGGGCCCAAAGGAGAGGTCATGAGTCTAGGTCTACGTCTAGCACCCTGTCATGAGGGGAAGGACCAATGGTTGTGCTGTTGATCTTAATGGTAAAGTCATGAGTGGGGGATCGGGGGTAGGAGGAAATATTACAGCTCAATTTTTGAAAGATTTAGTTTACGGTAGTGGTGTGACATCCATGCTGATATGTCGCTCAGTAGATTTGTGATACATGAGGAGATTGAGGGGGTGAGCTGGGGAGTGGAGACATAGATCTGGGTGTCATCAGCATAGAGGTGGTATTGGAAGCCATGGGAGGTTATCAGATGGCCCAGGGAGGAGGTATAGAGAGAGAAAAGGAGGGGCCCAAGAACAGAGCCTTGGGATACCCCAACAGAAAGAGGAAGCGGAGTGAGGGAGGAGGAGGAGTTGTATGTGACGCTGAAAGTGCACTGAGAAAGGTAAGAGGAGAACCAGGAGAGAGCAGAGTCATGGAGACCAATGGAGTGGAGTTTACTGAGGAGGAACGGGTGGTCAACTGTGTCAAAGGCAGCGGAAAGGTCAAGGAATATGAGTATAGAGTAATGGCCGAGAAAGGTTAGGGATTGAGTATGAGGAGTAGGGCCATTGGTTGGGATTAGTAGGAGTAGTGGCCAGGTTAGTGTAAAGGCCATTGGTTAGGAGTGAGTAGTAGAGTAGTGGCCATTGGTTGGGATGAGTATGGAGTAGTGGCCATTGGTTGGGATGAGTATGGAGTAATGGCCATTGGTTGGGATGAGTATGGAGTAATGGCCATTGGTTGGGATGAGTATGGAGTAATGGCCATTGGTTGGGATGAGTATGGAGTAATGGCCATTGGTTGGGATGAGTATGGAGTAATGGCCATTGGTTTTAGCAGTTAGTAGGTCATTAGTGAGTTTTAGTAGGGCAGTTTCTGTGGAATATTGTGGGCAGAAGCCAGACTGTCGGGGATCAAGAAGGTTGTTGTCGGTGAGGTAGCAGTTCATATAGTTGTGAACAAGGCGCTCGGGAAGCTTGGAGGCAAATGGGAGCAGGGAGATGGGTCTTAAGTTATACAAACAGGTGGGGTCCAGCGAGGGTTTTTTGAGGATGGGGGTAACCAGTGCATGTTTGAGTGTCGAGGGAGAGGTGCCCATGGAGAGTGAGAGGTTGAAGATGTGGGTTAGAGAGCTTAGGATAGAGCAGGAAGGAGGCTGCAACAATCGTGAGGGGACAGGATCCAGGGGACAGGTGGTGAAGTGGGCCTTGGAAAGGAGTTCGGTAACTTCCTCAGTGGTAACAGGGTCAAAGGAGGAGAGTGTAGAGTTTGGTGTTGGGCCTGGTATGTTGGTTAGAGGAGGAAGCTTGACACTGGAGATCTCATCACGAATTATGTCGATCTTCTTCTTGAAGTGACTGGCAAAAAGATTCTCACTGACTTAGAACCCGAACCTTATTACTACCCCTCCAGTGGGGATGGTACCCAAAATAATAAACTGGAAGGATCTTTATTATGCACAGTAGTAAAATGTCTTGATACATTATGGTTTTTGAATCCTTTAGCGATATTCTGAACATGTTCCCTAATCCTCTCCCATAAAGGTCTATTTGTGCGTCCAACGTATTGTATCCACAGCCACATTCCAGCACATAAACTCCCCCTTCTGTCTTGTATGTAATACAATCTCTCATTAAATCATCTTTATTTGTACTTGTTGCTTTAAAATTAATTATTTTCTGTTTAATCCCTTTAGTTCTTGTACATCCATAGCATTTTTTGCATGGGAAAAATCCTTTACCCGTGAAGAAAGAAAACTCACTTTTCTTAGGAGGATTCACCACATTTTTAACTATATTTATCAAAATATTTACCAACCCAACCAAAGTTTGTATATAGAGAGCCCCAAGGTTGTGTGACCGCATAGCTAAAAATGTGGTGAATCCCCCTAAGAAAAGTGAGTTTTCTTTCTTCACTGGTAAAGGAATATTATGTGTTTTTATTTTATTGCTTTTTACCTGTTTACTGACTAGATTGGATATATGTCAGGTATTCTATTTCTCTGGGGTTAGGAACCTTTCTTATACATGTCTGTTACAGACCCCATGGTGCCGGGAAGCGTCTATGTGCTCTTCCTAATTGGAAGACTCTCCCCACTGCTATGCTTTGGTGGAGACTCTTCCAGTCCTTGACCTTGTGTCTGGGTTATTTGGTGTTTTACAGTTTTATGCTGCATATTGTTGTTTTACCACTTGAACTGACGATAGCCATTTTCTGGGTGTCTTTTGTCTCTCCCCTATTTCTTCCTTATTTTTTTTTTTTTTTTTATTGAGGGTCATCTTGAGAATTTTTATTTGGTCCTGGATTCTCGATCTCCCCTACGGGGGATGTGTGGGTCTCCCCATCGCTGTCTTGCATTTTTCTATGTCCACCTTAAGACCTAATAGTGTTGTTGTTCCCTTACTCTCCCATAATGTGCAGGTTCGGGATTCCCCTCTAAGCGTCTCAAGTTTTTTTCTCGTTATAAGTCCCTGGGAGCTGATATAGTTGCTCTGCAGGAAACCCATTTTGTCTCCTCTTTCACACCACGTTATATTCATAGAGATTTCCCTGTGTGCTTTTTTGCTAATGCATCTGGGAAAAAATGAGGGGTAGCGCTCTGTTTGGCCCGCGGTTATCCTTTACTGAATCTAAAGTGATACGAGACAAGGAAGGGCGATATCTATTGGTTAAAGGCCACTTGGGGGGAAACTTAGTGACTTTCCTGATTTACTACGCCCCTAATGTGAATCAATTAGCCTTTTTTCGATCCCTGTTTCAATCTTTAGCTCCAGAACTGGAAGGCGATGTCATTTTAGTGGGGGATTTGAATTTGGCTTTAGATCAAATGCTTGATAAATCACGTGCAACCAAACTTGCATCCCCCGAAACAAAGTCGCAAAATTTGCTCAACTTTTATATCGCTATAATTTGGTGGATGCATGGAGAGAGGCCAATCCTACTTCTAGAGACTACTCTCATTTCTCTAGAGCTCACAACCGGTATTCACGTATAGACCACATCTTTCTCCCTATGGAGTTGCTGCCTAAGTTGTGTTCGGCTAAAATTGTATGGACACCCTGGTCAGATCATGACCCGGTGATGATGCTAACAATCTCCAATTTAACTGCCAATCTGGCCAAGTCACACTGGTGATTGAATGAGTCCCTTCTTAGCAATGAGTCAGGTCACCTTGAAGTGGTGGAGCATTTGAACTCTACTGTTAAAATGTTAACCTCAGTCAGTACATCCTGCCATTTTTGGCTGTGTTCCCAGATCTCTTATCTGAACATCTATCTATGTTTTGTACGATATTTTGCAGACACCTGCAGTCTAGCGTTCTTCCTGTTACATTTTGTGGTTGTACATACACATATTAAAATTTTTCCATATAAGCTCGAAAATAATGCTGGCATTTCTTATAACATTTACTTAAGACATAATAATTTCATCTACTTAAAGCATCACTCTAACTCTTATCACAATGCAAGCATATTGAATACAAAATGGTATACCTGAAGCAATAGCCCTAGCTCATATTTCCCCCACAACCCCCTCTTTGATCATATTGAACCTTTGTTCAACATGATCACTCAGAATACCACACCTCCTCTCTGGATTGTCCAAACAAAGTAAGTCTGGAGCCGTCTGTTGGAGAGGTGGAGTCTGGGCTCTTGTGCTTAACTGCTAGCTTCATAGTCTTACCCACTCCCCATATAGCAACTTCTAAATAAATAAAAATTGCAAAAAGAAGTGCTAGTGTATAAAGTGCAATTAATTTTTTTATAAATCTTTGGAATACCCCGGTACCACTTCCGAATATTATGGCACCTTCCATTACTTGATTGGTTGTCAGAAGAAAGGGGGTCCTCTGTTATCTCGGAATCCCCTTTGTCCTGAGATTCATCTTCCTCCGGGTCTTGAGGCCTTTGGGATGTAAGCTGTCTATGTCTTATAGGATTCTTTCATTTGTCATCAGTAAGTCTCATTTTGAACTGAAAATGTGCACTAAGTGGATGAGGTTCATTCAGTGTCTTAATAGATCTTCTAGCATACTGATCATATGTATGTGAACAGTTTCAGTTATGTCTGTGGGTCAGTGGGATGCAATGGGGTGGGGTATCCATTCATCCAACAGGTAAAAGTGTGCTGTTGTGCTGGAGGTATCAGTTTCAAGAGTTCTGGGGTGGGATGTCGGGGGGCATAGAAACCGTGTTCTCTGTGAACCTCTTGGGGAGTCCTTCATCTCCAGGTATTTCTTCAACCTCGATGCATGGATCCATTGTGGAGTCTGGTCAGTTTAGAACTGCTGTTCTGGCGACTTTAAGGACTAGTACGGCAATTTTTGGGGCTATTCCCAGCAGCTCGCGATTCTACACTGTAATAGACCTTTCCAATGCTTTCTTTAGCATTCCGGTTGAAGTAATTGCCCAGAACATGTTTTCTTTTCAATGGGACGGTGGTCAGTTGACCTGGTCTTGTCTTCCTCAAGGCTATGGGGATAGTCCTGCTGCTTTCTCAATGGTATTGAAAAGCATCTTTAGACAGTTGGGAGCCAAAGAGGGGATCCACCTTACTCCAATACACAGACGACCTAATGGTCAGCCACGAAGACTGTGAGGTAGACTCAAGACACTTGCTAGATTACCTAGCCGGAAAGGGCCATTTGGCCTCAAGAAAGAAGATACAATGGGTACAGGAACAGGTGGAATACCTGGGTTGCCTGATTTCAGGAGGAGACAGGTCTGTCTCCCCAGCCAGGGTAAAAGCCCTAATGTCCCTCACACTGCCAACAACCAAGGCTGCAATGATGTCCTTCCTTGGGTCAATAGTGTATTGCAGGCAGTGGATACCTGACTGTTCCCACAATGATTCGATCCTCAGGGATACAACAAAACAAGAGGCCCCACAACAGCAGAGTGGACCCCTGGAGAGGAAGGAAGCTTTTGGTAGACTGATCAGATCACTGACTAATGCCCCAGCCTTAACACTGCCGGACTATGAGAAGGAGTTTCAGCTTTACAGTGTAGTGTCAGCGCACGCATTTGCAGCCGTACTCACACAGGAACACGGTGGGAAAAACAGACCAGTGGCTTACCTTTCTAAGAAGTTGCCTTGTGTGGTTTTGGGCATGCCTCATTGCCTTCAAGTGATGGCTGCTTGTGCTATGGCTGTAAAGGATGCAAGTAAACTGACACAGGGATCTCCGACTGTGTTATACACTACACATTCAATAGCAGCGCTAGTGCACAATATGACGACACAGCACATGACAGCACAGAGACCGAGTGGATATGAACTTGCAGATTAAGACTTGTCTGGAAACGGACAAATTTGGGTCAGACGGGAGGCGAAATGGTGACTGTACCCCCTCTACATGACTGTGAGGAAATGGTGTTAGACAACACTTCACCCAGAGATGATCTAAAGGACATACCCCAATTGGGCAGTATAGATGTTTTTGTTGATGGCAGCTGTGTCAGACCAGATGATCATACCTACCAAACGGGTTATGCTGTAGTGATGCTACCAGACATAACCATTGAGGCCAAACCGCTTCATGCTAATTCAGCCCAGCAAGCTGAGTTAGTCGCGCTAACGCGCGCCTGTCAACTTTTTTCTGACCAAAGAGTGAACATTTACACTGACAGCAGATATGCATTTGGGGTAGTACATGAATATAACATGATCCGTTAGCCAGAGGTAACAATTTAGCAGACAGAGCAGCAAAGGAAGCAGCCGCGTCATCCACACCCACACACAACATGACATTGTTTATGCAAGATTTCAAGAACAGGACAATAAAAGACAGACTGAAGAAAGCCACAGGGGGAACTTTAAAGAACTGGCTGCTATTTCTCCCCGCAGTTCTTTACCAAAAAGACCACCCC